GGATGGAAGGATGGATGGAGGATGGATGGATGGATGGGTGGATGGACAAACAAATGAATGGCATCCCCAGCACCATAGTGAGATGGATGGATGGAGGGATGGAATGGTGTATGAATGGATGGAGGGAGGGAAGGAGGGATGGATGGATGGATAAATGGGTGGTAGGTGGATGGTGAGTGGATGGGTGAAGAGATGAATGGATGGACAGATGGATGGATGCATAGACAGACAGATGAATGGCAAACTCAGCACCATAATGGGATGGATAGACAGAGGGACGGATGCATGGATGAATGGGTAAATCGGTGGTAGATAGATGGTGAATGGATGAGTGAAGAGATGGATGGATGGATGGATGGATGGATGGATGGATGGATGTCAAACTCAGCACCATAGTGGGATGGATACATGGAGGGGTGAATGGATGAAGGGAGGGAGAGAGAGATGGATGGATGGATGGATGGATGGATGGATGGATGGATGGTTGAATGAGTAGATGGATGGATGAGTGAGTGGACATATGGATGGGTAACATTCAGGCTCCAGAAGAGTTCACTGAGACTAATACATGGGCCTCCTGACTCTTCCCACAGTGCTTCCCCACACTCTGTGGTTTCATCTTGGGCTGGGTGGGAAAAGAGAAGTGACAGAGCAGTGCTTTGGGAGAGTCCAGGCTTGTCAGGCACCTCTGGGTGCCACTCCTGGTTCTGCCACTTCCCAGCTATGCAGAAGAGCTTGGAAAACACTCCTTGTCTCAGCACTCACTAACCTCTCTAAGAAACAGAGAAGAAGCCTCCTACGTGGTAGGTTCTTGTGAAGATTTAACAAGATAGGGTGTGAAGCTCTCAACAGAACGTAGCTATTGCTGAAGAAGGGGTTGTAGTCATTTTAAGATTATGTATGTAAAAGAACGGCCCAAAACTGGGACTACAATCTCTGTTAGCTCCCTTTTCCAGCAGGTAACCCAACTCTCCAGAAAATCTTACTTGATCTCTCTCAACTCCTTGACTCTTTGAGGCCAATAATTTGGGTCTTTCACTTCCCTTGATGCAGGTGTGATGCCAGGCATCCACCCATTGCTCAGCCCACGTGACCAACCAGGTTGGCTACACTGAAGCAGAGAGTTTAGAAGCAACTGGGCTTTCTTGCCATCAGATTCAGCCTCATCCATGGGATCAGACTGGGTTTTAGCTCAGACGTAAGACTTCCAGATAAAATGTAGGAAGTCCAGTTAATTTAAGATAAATGGCAAATAATTTCTGCCCCAATATTTTGATGCTTATTATATGTTTATACTAAATATACAAAATACATTTACGTAAAAATTATTTGTTGTTTATCTGAAATTCAAATTCAATCAAATTTCCTGTATTTTATTTGCTAGCAACCTAGCTCATTAGGCTACCATGGAGGCAAATATATGCAGATAAGACGACACAAGGAAGAGAAACGAGAAGGCAATAGAAAGTGGGTGGGAAGGAGGACAGGGAAAGGGAACAGCCATCCTCACCCTAGTTGTTACAAGTGGATCTTGATCAGCAAATATCTATGGGGTACTTCCTATGTGCCGGACATTGTGCTGAGCCCTGGGGAGCCCATGGTGAGTGTGCCCTGAGACCACTGCTCCCCAGCAGGCATATTGAGGCACTCCCAGTCTCAAGGGGGAGGTAGCCACTCAGCAATTAATCACACAAAGGATAAATTACAGAAGAGACAGGTGTCTTGAAGGCATAACACCATGGGATCTAACCTCACATGGCAGGGGCTCAGCAAAGTCAGTGTCTTTGCCAAAAAGGGTTCTAGGAGTTGCCCCCTGAATCTGTTATGGAGAAATCCCCCTGTATAACTGAAGACAGACTTCATACACCCACTTTGGCACCTTCACACACTCTCACACTCACACACACCCACACACTCTCATACATACATACTCATACTCACACATGCTCACAAACATACATGCCCTGACACACCGGCACACTTACACACATGCATGCTCACATACATGCACACACCTACGCATATTCCCACATGTACATATGCACACCCACATATGCTGACATACATGCATGACCTGACACACATATACACACATTAATATGGTTTGGCTCTGTGTCCCCACCCAAATATCATCTTGAATTGTAATCTCCATAATCCCCAGGGATT